AATTTTAGACCATTTTAAGAGCCAATTATGGATTATTTTAAGCCGATTTCAGCCAATTTTAAGCTAGTTTTAGCCTATTCTAGCCGATTTCAAGCCAACTTTAGACTATTTTGAGCGAATTCAAGCTAAAAATATTTGTTAAATTTTCAGCTTATTGAAAATAGACAAGAATTTGAAGGCTTTCTAAAGTTTTGGAATGTTTCGAAATTTGAAGAGAAATCGAGCCTAGAGTCTTGGTTTTTTTAGAAGAAAATAATTAGGATTTTCGGAATCAGCGTAGTCTGAAGCATCTGGAGACAATTTTCAAAGAATGGATCTTGATTCTAGAAGGCGTCATTATTGCCAAATCTGATAAAGATAAAGCTATAGAGATAAGAGAAAATGACACGACGGCAAAGCAAAAACAATATGTATGACTAGGCGGCTAGCAGGAGGGAAAGGGGGCGGAGCCTAAATGCACCACGAGGCTATGCGAAAAATGGGGAGAGAGAGAGAGAGAGAGAGAGACGCAGAATGCTGTGAGGAGGGAACATAATATATCAAGTTAGCGAGTATTTTTTTTTTGCAGTCTGAATACGGTAGGTACCTCGAAGAGGGGCAAGCCGAAATAGCGCATATTAGGTGGAGACGCAGAGCATATTTTTGGATTGACAAAGCATGGGGAAATGGGGGGAATTTATTAGGAAAATGTCATGGGAAACGGGCAATTTTTCTCTGTTTTGAAATTTTGCTGAAAAATGGTCCAAAAATCATGAAAAATGATCCAAAAATTGATGGAAAATTGGCTTGAATACGCTGAAATTTGACTAAAAATGAGCTAAATTTTCCCAATTTTTTCAGAAAAATGGCTGAAAAATTGGTTTAAAATCAAGAAAGAAAATTGCTGAAAATCGAGTCCTGCTAGTTTGTAGTTTGGGTTACTATAGATTACTGTAGCTGCAAAAGCGGGAAAAGACAAAATTTGGCTGAAAAAATTAGCTGAAATTTGACCTAAAACTGCGAAAAAAGAGCTAAAAATGAGCTTCGGGTTACTTTAGATTACTGTAGATTTTTCCGATTTTTTTGAGCCTTTTTGACTTTTAGGGATTACTGTAGCGTTTGGAAAACTTCAGATTCCGGGCCTTCTATAGGGTTTTTTGCTCTAAATTTTGAGGATTACTGTAGCTCGGGTTACGGTAGCTATTTTGAAAAAGGATTGAGTATTACTGTAGGTTTTCGAGAATGAGCAATTATAGAGTAGATTACGGTAGGTTTGGGATCCGGAAAGCTTGAGGATTACTGTAGCTACAGTGATCCTATGAAAGTTCGAGAAAAGCTAAAAATTCTGAAATTTGGAATTTTCGGAAAGTAGATTACTGTAGATTTTGAAAAAGTGGTAAACTGAAAAATTGCTATTGCTAAGCAGGCCCAAAATCCGATTTTGCTAATGCTGAGCAATGTGCTACCAATTTAACCCAGAAAAATTTGGGGAATTTATTAGGAAAACGTCTTTTGCGGAATAATGAGGATATACGGTAGTTTGGAAGAGTATGGGATCATTTGTATAGGATATGTATCAAAATGAGTCATACAATAAAATATCTAGAAATTTCGATATGAAATTTGAGAGCATAAACAATATAACCATCTTACAGCTGAAATAGGCTAAAAATGGTCTAAGAGTGGCTTGAAATGGGTCAAAATACGCCTAAACTAGGCTTAGAATGAGTTAAAATGGGCTCAAAATAGTCTAGAATCGGCTATTCGTCGGCATCCTCCTCGCCCTCACTATCCATAGTGTCATCCTGATGCGTCTGCTGCCCTCCCATCTGAGCCATCTCCATCTGCGCCTTCTTGATCTTTCTCAACTTGAATCGTCGATTCTGGAACCAGACCTTGATCTGTACCTCACTGAGTCCGATCCTCTTGCTCATCTCGCGACGCTCATCAACTTTGATACTGTCGCTCTTGTCGAATCGCTCGTTTAGAGCTGCGAGTTGGGATTTGGAGAATGGGAGACGTGCGGATTGTCCGGGTCTGGCATCAGAAGCAGCAGCAGCTTGTAGGGCTGGTGTCATACTGTAGGGATGGTAGAATTGGTGTGGGTGGCAAGCAGAAGCTGGGAATGCACCGGCTTGCATAGCGGTCATGTGTCCGTACCAGGCAAAGTATTGTTGGGCGCTGAAATTTTGTTCTAATTTTTGCTGAAAAATTGACCGAAAATCATGAAAATGGTCCAAAAATCATGAAAAATGGACCAAAAATCATGAAAATGGTCCAAAAATCATGAAAAATGATTCAAAATTCATGAAAAATGAACCAAAAATCATGAAAAATTGTCCAAAAGTCATGAAAAATGGTCCAAAATACATGAAAAATGGACCAAAAATCATGAAAAACAATCCGAAAATTATGAAAAATGGACCAAAAATCATGAAAAATAGTCCAAAAATCATGAAAAATAGTCCAAAAATTATGAAAAATAAGCCAAAATTCATGAAAAATGGTCCAAAATTCATGAAAAATGGACCAAAAATCATGAAAAACAATCCGAAAATTATGAAAAATGGACCAAAAATCATGAAAAATAGTCCAAAAATCATGAAAAATAGTCCAAAAATTATGAAAAATAAGCCAAAATTCATGAAAAATGGTCCAAAATTCATGAAAAATGGACCAAAAATCATGAAAAACAATCCGAAAATTATGAAAAATGGACCAAAAATCATGAAAAATAGTCCAAAAATCATGAAAAATAGTCCAAAAATTATGAAAAATAAGCCAAAATTCATGAAAAATGGTCCAAAATTCATGAAAAATGGACCAAAAATCATGAAAAACAATCCGAAAATTATGAAAAATGGACCAAAAATCATGAAAAATAGTCCAAAAATCATGAAAAATAGTCCAAAAATTATGAAAAATAAGCCAAAATTCATGAAAAATGGTCCAAAATTCATGAAAAATGGACCAAAAATCATGAAAAACAATCCGAAAATTATGAAAAATGGTCCAAAAAGTACGATTTTGGTACCGCCTAGTTGTAATTGCTCATATTTTTCGAATCCCTAAAAATCAAAAACCTCCAAAAATTGAAAATCTACAGTAACCCAAACTACAGTAAAATTGGAAATTTCGGAGTTTTTTGGAGTTTTCAGAGTTTTTGAAATTTCAAAAAATCCGAAAAAATGATTGTTAAAAATTTCGGATTTCTTGATAATTAGTGAATTTTTTAGGATCAAAATTTTTGAAAAATTGGACTTTCTGGAATTTTTCAATTTTTTGTCTAGGCAGGTATAAAAAATTGAATTTTTGGGTTAGTTTACTGTAATTAGAATAGACTACTGTAATTAGCCGATTTACGGACATAATTCAAATTTGACAGCTTTGTAAATTTGCTACTTCTTGGCAGTATCGAAAATTCGAAATTTGCACCTGCTCCATTATCGGATAACATCATAAACCTACATTTCATTAACAAAACCCTATAATTACCCCTATAGATGAAACTACTAATTATATAGAGTCTAAAATGAACTTTTGAATATTCACCCTTAAAGGAATACTACAAATTATAGCCTCTACCGTCAAACCTGTATTAGAGGGGGGCCCTTCTATTGAAGGCCTTAACTTACATCATTGCTTCCTCGAATCCTCGAATCTGTTGTTGCTGCTGCTGAACTTGTTGTAATTGCTGGGGCTGTGGCTGCTGGGGGATGTGATGTGGTCCCTGAAGGAAGGATCCTGCCATTGGGAAGCTCGGAGATGCCATTGGAGTACCCATTGGCGACCCAGAGTAGCCAGAAGAGCTCGACGAATTCATCACTGGGTAGGACGGCGACGCTTGCTGCATGTAGACGTCGGGAGTGTAGGCGTACATATCCTTAGAAGGGCGTAATTCAGAAAAGACTCGAATGAGCTCTAGAATGAATTATGGAATGACTCTTCAAGAATGGACCATATTAGGTCCGGTGGGCGGAGCTATAGAACGAATCCATCATCTGTAAGGTGTGAGACGCCTTCTTTTATGACTTCGTGACGGTTTTATGACTCTTGATGAGCACCAAGTATGGTCATTGGTGCTCCTGGGAAGAGTGGGATCACGGTGGCTGGGACACCCCGTATTTTGGGTGGTGAAATGGGCGCATTGCGAGGAATTTGCTTTGGGGAATGTTCCGAAAGCCAAAAATCGTGAAAAATTGAACCAAAGATCATGAAAATTGGCTCGGAATAGCTAAGGTAGGCTCAAAATGGTCGATGTTTGGTCTAAATTAGTCGAAAATTGACCTAAGTTGGCTTAAAACATTCCAATATAGGCCTAAAACGACCTAAAATTGTCTTCAACTAGCCCGGAATTGGCTGAAAATCGGGCTAAAATGATCCAAAATGTGCCGAATTTGCCTTAAAGTAGTTCAAAATAGGCTTAAAATAGGCCGAAATCGGCTTAGAATGGGCTAAAACAGCCTGAAAATTGGCTAGATTTGCCTATAATTGGCTTAGCATGGTCCAAAACTGGTCTAAAATAGGCTTAAAATTGGCTAAACTAGACCAAAATCGGCTTAAAATAGGTCAAAATCAGCTCAAATGGTCCAAAATTTGAAAAAATCGGCTTAAAATGAGCTTAACATGGCTTAAAATGATCCAAAATTGGCTCTTAAAACATCTTAAAATAGGCTAAACGCTGTGCTAAAATCACCGGGCATCTCGAACTTTCCAAAAATACAGTAATCCCTAAAATTCAAAACTGCTCAAAAAATTAAAAGCTTACAGTAATCTCACAATAATCCAAACTACAGTAATGGCCTAAAATGAGCAATTTCCAGTCTAAAAATGTGGTTCATTCTCATCTGAAAATAGCACTTTTTTGAACTAAAACGATCAATTTCCCATCAAAATAGATTGAGAATGGACCAAATTTGGGCTGAACATAGCTTGAAATAGGCTTAAAATGGGCTAAAATCACCGGAATCTCGAATTTTCCAAACACTACAGTAATCCCCAAAATGAGCAATTTGCAGATCAAAGAAGCCAAGATCATCGCGATGACGTGTACGCATGCGGCACTGCGTCGCAACGAACTCGTCAAACTCGGCTTCAAATACGACAACATTGTGATGGAAGAAGCGGCGCAGATCCTCGAAGTCGAAACCTTCATCCCGCTGCTCCTTCAGAATCCAGAAGACGGACACAATCGGCTGAAGCGGTGGATTATGATTGGAGATCATCATCAGCTGCCACCGGTGGTTCAGAATCAGGCATTCCAGAAGTACTCCAACATGGAGCAGTCGTTGTTCGCTAGACTTGTGAGGTTGAGTGTGCCGAACGTCGAGCTGGATCGGCAAGGACGTGCGAGAGCGCAGTGAGTTTTTGGGAATTTTGGACTTTAGGCTGAAAATGAGAATATAAGAATTTTGAGACGAAAAACCCCCAGAAAAATAGTTAAATTTGGAAATTTGAAACTTTTTTGTTCGCTGGAAAGTTTTGGCTGAAAATGCGAACGAAATCGTCATACGACGATTTTAGGTCGGAAAATGTAATTTTCAGGTCATTTTAAGTCGAAAATCTTGTAATTTGAACGATTTCAAGCGAATTGCAGCTGAAAATCACGAATTTTAGAACGAATTTCTCATATTTTTCTAACTCAAATGAATTCAAATTTAAGGGATTTTCGGCTTAAAATTATTGCCTGCAAATCGCATTTTTCGACCGGAAATCGATGCGATAGCGACTGAAAATTGTGATTTTCGGTTCAAAATGGCTGGAAATAAGCTCAAAATCGGAGGGTTTTTAACTAAGAATGATCCAAAAATCGCAAAGTCCTTTTGACTCTAAAAGATCTACTTTAGGCGGCTTTAAAATACTTAATTTTGGCTCTAAAAGCCCTAATTTTTGCTCTAAAAGATCTATTATTTTTAGCTCTGGAAACCCTGATTTTGGCTCTAAAAGATCTATTTTAGCTCTGGAAACCCCTAATTTTGGCTCTTGAAACCCTGATTTTGGCTCTGAAAGATCTAATTTTGGCTCTAAAAGATCTATTTTTAGCTCTGAAACCCCTAATTTTGGTTCTTGAAACCCTGATTTTGGCTCTAAAAGATCTATTTTTAGCTCTGGAAACCCCTAATTTTGGCTCTGAAAGATCTATTATTTTTAGCTCTGGAAACCCTGATTTTGGCTCTGAAAGATCTAATTTTGGCTCTAAAAGCCCTAAATTTGGCTCTGATAGATCTAATTTTGGCTCTGGAAACCCCTAATTTTGGCTCTAAAAGATCTATTTTAGCTCTGGAAACCCTGATTTTGGCTCTAAAAGATCTATTTCTAGCTCTAAAAGACCTAATTTTGGCTTTAAAACCTTAATATTAGCTCTAAAAGGCGAATTTAAGCTATAAAATACCCAATTTTGGCTCTAAAATAGTAATGGCCTACGAAATTGTGAAAAATGACTGAAAACATCTGAAAATTTGCTATTATCTCCGAACTCCCTAATTCTACCGCACCCAATCATTTCCAATTTTGCAATTTCCGCTTCTTTTAATTGACAGGAGGTAGTTGATAAGAACTGTCTCCGCTTCTCCTTTATCAACGACTAAATTCCCAGCAGCGAATTTCTACTCTTTCCACTCGGAAATGTTGATTTTTGAGCTTTTGGAGCTGAGAACAGTGCTTTTCTTGTTATTTAGAGCTCGAAAATGGTACTAAGCCGTTTTGGTACTGCTAGTAAGGTGAAAAATGGGATTTCACGACTGCTGGGCACTGCCATTCTATTAGAGGTTTACTGATTTTTTTTGTGTGTGATTTTAAGCCCGAAAATACGATTTTTGAGGTATTTTGAATCCTGAATCTTGACTTTCTAGTTATTTTGAGAATAAAAACATGATTTTTGAGGTATTTTGGACCCCAAAACAGTTCTAAGATTGCCGAAAATTGAGAAATCCAAAAACGGCCCCCAAAAAAATGCAATATTCTTCCAGAATCGCCGAGCTCTATCAGTGGAGATACAAGGGATTGGGCAACTTGCCACACGTCGATGGGCTCCCGCAATTCCAGGTTTGTTAGAAGGAGAAATTGCTGAAAATGGGCTGAAAATGAGGTTTCAGCAGTGCTAGACAGCTTTAAAAATAAAAAAAAAACGCGCTATTTTTGGGTGCTAAATACCTCGAAAATCATATTTTTTAGGCTCAAAATATCTTTAAAAAATCCGCGTTTTGCGCTCAAAATACTTCAAAAATCGTATTTTTGGGCTCAAAATAACAAGAAGAGCCTATATCCCTGTAACTAGACCATCATTTTAAGCCGATTTTCTATGTTTTTAGCTCCCAATTTCACAATTTTTCCCAACTTGAATGATCTCAATTCAAAATTTGCACACCTAAAACGAGAATTTGTCGTCGTTTTTAACACATCATATTGGACTCCAAAAACTGGAAGATTCATAATTTTGTGTGCTCAAAATCACGCTCGAAAATCTGTAAAACCTCTAATAGAATGGCAGTGCCCCTGGTCCAAAAGTTGAGATTTTTGGCTTGAGAGAATTCGCCTGAAAATGCTCTGAAATTGCAGTTTTTGAGCAGCTCGGGGTAATTTTTCGGCCCCAAAAACTCGGAAATTCATATTTTCAGCACAAAGTGCTCTCCAAAATCCCTGTAATCAGGCTATTTTCTTTATAATTCAGCTCCCGATTTTGCCATTTTTGGACGTTTCGATGGACCTAAATTCCAAATTTCGTCGTCACCAAACCAATTTTGGACCGATTTAGCCCTGTTTTGGACTATTTTGAACTAATTTAGATCTGTTTTTTAGGTCATTTTAGATCTGTTTTGGGCCATTTTTGAGCCATTTCGGACCTGTTTTGGACTATTTTAGACTATTTTAGAGCCATTTTGGACCATTCTAGACCCATTATGGACTGATTTAGACCTGTGTTAGGCAATTTTAAACCATTCTTAGACTATTTTAGATCTGTTTTGGGCCATATTTTCAGCACAAAGTGTTCCAAAATCCCTGTAATCAGGCTCATTTCTCTATAATTCAGCTCCGGATTTCGCCATTTTTGGACGTTTCGATGGCCTAAACCAGTCGGTTTACAAGCCAAGAGGTTTAGCCCCTTCGGAGCTAAACCTCCTGGCCTCCCGTCGGCCTCCACCACCCTTTACTGAGGTGAAACCATGGAACGTCTCCAGAAGACTTCAACTTCAAAACTTGGGAAAACGAAAAGTTTGGGCATCTAATTAGACACATTTCTGATCTATCTGTCCAGATTTCAGCTTAATCGGATAACTTTGAATGGGTGAACAGGCGCGCGACATACATACGCACATACGGAATTTGGTGAATGTTATTAGTAATGATTCCAAATTTCGTCGCCACCAGCCAGAAGAGGAATAGAATCACATTGCATCACACTTCTCCCTCTTTCCTCCTCTTTCCGGAGGTTTTTTGTGTCCCTTTCTTCCTCTTTGGCCTACTATTTGCACCGCCTTTTGAACACTTGGACGAGAAGGTATTTCCTCATGGCGCCCCCCCCCCCCCCACGTTTCGAATGTCTTCTTCTCCGCAGAAAGAGAGATAGTTGGTGAGACATAGACAACGAAAGATATGATGTGGTGTTTTACGAGTGTTGAGACAACGCGCCCCTTTTTTTGTGTAGTGGAAAGTTGGCCTAAAATCGGCCTAAAATCGAGCGAATTTTCTAGTTTTTTAGGTCGAATTTTATTGGAAATTGCTGGAAAATTCATTTTGAACTCTAAATCGTGATTTTCGCGCTATTTTGAGCCCAAAATTACGATTTTTAAAGTATTTTGAACCCAAAAATACGAATTTTGGAGGGATTTTAGACTCGAAAACATGAATTTTGAGGTAATTTGAACCCGAAAATGTTGATTTTTGAGCTTTTGGAGCTGCGAACAGTGCTTTTCTTGTTATTTAGAGCTCGAAAATGATACTAAGCCGTTTTGGTACTACTAGTAAGGGGAAAAATGGGATTTCACGACTGCTGGGCACTGCCATTCTATTAGAGGTTTACTGATTTTTTTTTTGTGTAATTTTGAGCCCGAAAATACGATTTTTGAGGTATTTTGAATCCTGAATCTTGACTTTCTAGTTATTTTGAGAATAAAATACGATTTTTGGGTTATTTGGACCTCAGAATAATGCTAAAATGACCCAAAATGACTCTGAAATAGTCCAAAATGGGTCAAAAATGGCCCAAAACAGGCCTAAAATAGTCTAAAATGAGTCTAGAATGGCTAAAAACAGGTCTTAATTAGTCCGAAATTGGTCAAAATGGCCCAAAATTGGTCTAAAATAGTCCATAATGGGTCTAGAATGGTCCAAAATGGATATAAAATGACCCATAAATGGTCCAAAACAGGTCCAAAATGGCCCAAAATTGGTCTAAATTAGTTCAAAATAGTCCAAAACAGGTCTAAATTAGTCCAAAATTGGTATAAATTGTCTAAAACAGGTCTAACTTAGTCCAAAATAGTCCAAAATGGCTCTAAAATGGCCCGAAATGGCCCAAAACAGGTCTAAAATGACCCATAAATGGTCCAAAACAGGTCCAAAATGGCCCAAAATTGGTCTAATATTGTCCAAAATGGGTCTTAAATCGTCTAAAATTCCCTTAAAAAGGTCCAAAATTGGCTTAAAACGAGCTAAAATTCATGAAAAACGAGTCCTAGCATTTTTTGTCTCCTTTTTCATCTATTTTTGGCATTTTTGGCTCATTTTTCCCCCACATTCATCAATTTCCCCGTCTATAATTTATATCATTTTCAGAACGCCAATGCCGGATTCGCGTTCCCCTTCCAGCTCATCGATGTTCCCGACTTCAACGGACAGGGAGAGTCTCAACCAAGTCCCCATTTCTATCAGAATCTGGGCGAGGCCGAGTACGCCGTCGCATTGTACACTTATATGCGAATTTTGGGATATCCCGCGGAGAAGATCTCGATTCTGACGACGTACAACGGACAGGCACAGTTGATTCGCGACGTTTGTCAGAGGAGATGCGAGGCGAATCCGTTGATTGGAATGCCCGCCAAGGTTGGTGTGGAATTTGGAATTTGGGGGGGGGGGGGGGGGAAGGGCTTAAAATACTCGAAAATCCATCGGAAATTGGTACAAAATAGGCTCAGAATGGTACCCAATCGATTAGAAATGGTACCAAAAGTCACGAAAAGTGGTACCAAATTCTTTGAAAATGGTACAGAATAAACTCAAAATGGTACCGAAACAGGCTCAAAATGGTACTGAAATAGGCTAAGAATGGTACCGAAACAGGCTCAAAATGGTACTGAAATAGGCTCAAAATGGTACTGAAATAGGCTCAAAATGGTACTGAAATAGGCTCAAAATGGTACTGAAATAGGCTCAAAATGGTACCGGAATAGGCTCAAAATGGTACTGAAATAGGCTCAAAATGGTACAGAATAGGCTCAAAATGGTACCAATAATTCAGTAAAAATTTCTGAAAATTGATTTTTGAGCATTTCTAGACATTTTCACTCGAAAAACAGCAAATTTTCAGACAATTTTGAGCAAGAAAAACGGATTTTCAGCTTTTTTTTCATGGTTTTCGTTCCCATTTTAAATCTAAAATCCACCTAAAACTGCTAATTTTCTGATCAAAGGAACTTTTCTAAAATACCGACTCCATCTCTCAATTAGCAGGTTGTAAATCATAATCCACTGTTGTTTGTTCTGAATACTTTTTTGCCCTGTGTTCTCAAAATCATGAGAACGCTGGCTTTTGGGAAAGAAGGAGCGGTATTGTTAGAAGATGTGATATATGGGGATGTGGATGGCGGAGAAATGAGGGGACATAGGGTAATCGAGGGACCAAAATAAACCAGAAAATGAGAAATCTCAGCTGAAAGTGTCTAGAAATATGGAAATCTGAATAGAGAGTCCTAAATTTGCAATGAGTACCAAAATCCACAAAAAATGGTACCAAATAGGCTCGAAATGGTACCAAAATCCACTGAAAATGGTTACAAATTCATTAGAAATTGTATCAATTTCATTGAAAATAATACCAAATCCAGTGAAAATGGTACCAAATTCATTAGAAATGGTACCGTAAAATAATACCAAATTCATTAAAAATGGTACCGAAGTAGGTTCAAAATGGTACCAAACTCATTGGAAATGATATCAAATTCACTAAAAATGGTACCGAAGTAGGTTCAAAATGGTACAAAATCCAGTGAAAATGGTACCAAATTCATTAAAAATGATATCAAATTCACTAAAAATTGTACCAAAATAGGCTCAAAATGGCACCAAATTGCTTAGAAATGGTACCTTAAAAATGATACCAATTTCATTGAAAATGGTGCCGATTTCGTCACAAATATTACAAATCCAATTAAAATGGTACTCAAATCCATAAAAACGGTTCCAAAAAATCCCTAAGCGTGGTACCTAATTTGTTTTAAAATGGTACCAAAATCCACTAAAAATTATCAAAAATAGGCTCAAAATAGTACCGAAATTCATTAAGAAATGGTACCAAAATTCAATAAAAATGGTACAGAGAACCCAGTAAAAATTTTACCAAATCCAGGGAAAATGATACCTAATTCATTAGAAATAGTACCCGAATTCGCGAAAAATGGTACCGAAATTCATTAAAAATGGTACATAATTGGCTAAAAATGGTACTAAAAATCGCTGAAAATAGTACAACAAAGGCTCAAAATGATACCAAAATTCATAAAAAATGATTCCAACAATCTCACAAAAAATGGTATCGATTCATTAGAAATGGTACTGATTTCCCTAGAAATGGTACCAAAATAGGCTCAAAATGGTTCCGAATTCAGCAAAATTGATGGTACCAAAATTCACTAAAAATGGTACCCAAATCCATGAAAATCATCAAAAATGGTACCAAAATTCGATAGAAATAGTACCAAAATAGGCTCAAAATGGTACCAATTTCGTTATAACCTGCTAATTCATCATATTAGCTGAAAATTGGGGGATTTTCAGTCTAGAAATAACGATTTCTAGCCCTATATGACCTAAAAACCCAAAAAGAACGCTCTCCGAATTCCAAATTCCCCATTTTTCCAGGTCTCCACCGTCGACAAGTACCAAGGACAACAGAACGACTACATCATCCTGTCGCTAGTCCGTACCCGCAACATTGGTCACATCCGCGACGTCCGTCGTCTCGTCGTCGCCCTCTCTCGTGCTCGTCTCGGTTTGTACGTGCTCGGAAGGTCCAAGGTCTTCATGGATTGCCTCGAATTGACGCCAGCGATGAGAATCTTCGCGAAACTTCCCCGCAAACTGGTGATCCTTCCATTCGAAGCACACCCGACGTGTCGAAAATGGAACGAGCGGTCGCAGGATGGAGAAGCCATGGAAATCGAGGACACCATTCATATGACGCACTTTGTCCGGGAGTTCTACATGAGCAATTTGCCGGCAATGACGGAGGCGTACGAGGCGGCGATGGCCGAGTATCTGGAGGCTCAACGGATTCTCAATCCGCCCATCGATGAGACACAGATGGATGTGGAGACGGAGGAGGAGAGGCGACGACGTGAGGCGATGGAGAGGAAGAAGAAGCAGGAGATGGACGATAAGAAGGAGGCGGACATTCATTTTGAGGACATGGATCATGAGATGCAGGAGCAGCCAGCTGGAAGCTCAGCAGCTCAGGAGGCTCCGCCCACGATTCAGGAGCCACCAGCACAAGAGAATCCATAGGAAAACGCCAAAATTTTGGTTTCTAACTTATTTTTCATTTATTTATCACCCCCTTATCATCATGATCTTCTTCTTATCTCCTTTTTTTCTCCTATTTCTTCGATTTTTCTAAAATCGATCTTATATAAATTTGAATTTCCCGCTAAAATTCCTGCTGAAAACCTTAAATTTTCGATTTTTTTTTCTATATTTTGTGTCGATTTGATCACATTTTTATCTATTTTTTCCACTCTTTTTGACGATTTTCAGACTTTTTTAGCTCTAAATGACCTTTTTCAATCCTAAAAATGTTCAAATTTTGTCACTTTTCTCCCAAAAAAAAACCCTCCAAATTCTCCTATTTTTACACTTTTCTGGCGCTAAACGACCTTTTTTATCCTTGAAAAATTTCAAACTTTGTGATTTTTCCGGTCCAAAATGCCGAATTTCGCTATTTTCGTGATTTTTTACTCTCAATTTCGTATCAAAATCTCCATTTTTGGCTCTAAAAAACTGTTTTAGACCCCGAAAAGTTCAAAATTTTGGCAAAAAGGTAGTCCAAATCACATTATTTTTGTGAAAAATCGTGTAAAAAATGGGTTTGGACCGACAAAAATTGACAAATTTGGGGCATTTTTCTCGAAAAGTCACAGAATTTGGACTGTAAAAACGGCGTTTAGAGCCGAAAAAATCGATTTTTAACTTATTTTTCACTATTTATCACCCCCTTATCATCATGATCTTCGTCGAATTTTCTGGAATTCTCTGAATTTTTGATCTTATATAAATTTGAATTTCCCGCTGGAATTCCTGCTGAAAATCTGAAATTTTCGATTTTTTTTTCTCTATATTTTGTTGTTGACTTCTCACATTTTTATCTATTTTTTTGTCGATTTTTTCAGACTTTTTCAGCTCAAATTACCCCAAAATTCGTTCCAATTTTCTAGGGTTCAATTTAAGCAAGAATGGCTGAAAGTGTTGTTGCTCAGAAAGTGGAGCAGCTCCAGGTGAACGGAGCCAAAGAGGAGGATGAGGATTTGGTGACGCCGTGGGAGGTGACGACCACCAAAGCCACCGGAATTGATTATGATAAGCTGATTGGTAAGGGAAAATTGTGGAACATTCGATGAAAATGAGAAAAATGACACTTTAAAGCCTAGAAATAGTGATAAAACATTTTTTTTTTGACGATTTGAGCCAAAAAAGTAATGAAATGCAAAAAATTCGATTAAAAAACGACCAAAATGACATTTTGGTACCGACGTGCAGTATTATGGCCTAGGAATCCGAAATTCGCGAAAACTAGTCCCAAATCAGTTTTCAGTTCCGAAAATGTTGATTTTGAAGCGAGTTATGAATGTGGCCGAGTTTTGGGTTTCTAGGCCACCAAGCCAAAATTGGTATAACTCGCTTCAAAATCCATATTTTGAAGTTCTGAAAATTGATTCGAATTTGTTACGTTTCGGGCTTTCCAACCATATACAACATGGCCTAGTTTTTTGGGTTTCTAGACCACCAAACTGAGATGGCCTAGGAGTCCGAATTTCGCGAAAAATTGGTCATCATGTTGTATATGGTTTGAAAGGTCGAATTGCGACTAACTTGAATCAATTCTCAGTCTCTTAAAAGATGCATTTTGAAGCGAGTTATACCCCATTTTAGTTTGGTGGCCTAGAAAATCAAAACTCGGCCACATTCATAACTCCCTTTCAAAATCCATATTTGTCACATCTGAAAACTGATTTGGGACTGTCAAACTCTGCTCTTTATACCTAACAGACATGAGCGGAATTCTTTATTCCTTATTCCTTATTCCGGGTGTTTTTTCTATTCCTTATTCCTTCTTCCTTCTTCCTGATTTTTTTTTGTTATTCCTCTTCAAAACTTTAAAACTTTTTCTATCAAAAATCAGAAAAAAATTCTCAAAACTGGAAAAAAAAATTTGAACGCTCTAAATTGCCGCGTAACATTATGTTCAGCGGAGCACCTTTTTCGAAAAAATTTTTTTTGAATTCTTGGAAAAGTTATGAGTTTTTCTCAGTGTTTTTTTTTTCGAAATAAATTTGGTTTTTACAATTAGTAAATACTTCAGAAAAAATGTCCAAAAAACGGAGCAAGTTTGGCGAATTCTTCGTCAGAACAGGAAACGAGTGTATCCTC